GGCAGGGACGCAGTTGGCGGCAGGGACGCAGTTGGCGGCAGGGACGCCGACGCAGTCAGCAGCGCCGGAGACTGCTTTGAGTCTTGTGGAGCCGACAAGCGTGATGTACCGGAATCGTTGGTGTTTGAAGAAGGTCATTGCAGGGCATACGGGGTGGGTGCGCGCTCTGGACGTGGATGTGTCGAATGAGTGGTTTGTGAGTGGGGGTAATGACCGGTTGTTGAAGGTATGGGATTTGGCAAGTGGTGCGCTGCGCCTAACATTGACGGGACATGTGCACGCGATCCGTGGGCTAAAGGTGGACTCGCGGCACCCTTATGTAGTGAGTTGCAGTGAGGACCACGAGATCAAGTGTTGGGATTTGGAGCAGAACAAGGTGGTGCGTAACTACCACGGACATTTGAATGGTGTGTACACACTCGCACTGCACCCAACACTGGAGAACATCCTCGTCTCTGGCGGGCGCGACAAGACTGTGCGTGTGTGGGACTTGCGCACACGCGAAGAAGTCCACTGTCTGCGCGGGCATACAGACACAGTCTTTAGCGTACTCGCACAGGGCGTTGAACCACAGGTAGTCAGCGGCAGCGCTGACAAAACCGTGCGCTGCTGGGACCTACGCACCGGACGCTGTCGTGGGGTTCTTACACACCACTCTAAGTCTGTGCGCGCACTCCACGCACACCCAAGACTCTACGCCTTCCTCAGCGGCGCCGCAGACAGTCTCAAGGTCTGGCAAGGGGAACATGCCACCTACCAACGAGACCTCAGCCCTAACCATTCCATCATTAATACACTCGCCGTCAAAGATGACCCCGACAGCGCCATCGTCGTCGCAGGCGCCGACAACGGCTTCCTCCACTTCTACGACTTCAACTCCGGTCACATCTTCCAGTCACTTGAATCAAAACCCGTCCGCGGCTCACTACACGCCGAAGCCGGTATCCTCGCCGCCGTCTTCGACCAGTCCGAAACCAGGCTACTTACCGGCGAAGCAGACAAGACCATAAAGATCTGGCAACCACTTGAACAGGAGGTATAGCACCATCTAGACACACCTCTCTAGTTGGCAGGGGGCCAGTTGGCAGGGGGCCAGTTGGCAGGGGGCCAGTTGGCAGGGGGCCAGTTGGCAGGGGGCTAGTTGACATTGGCAAGTTGAGAAGATGGTCGTTCGTAAACGGGCACGCTGCCGCGATTGCCAGATGCGTTGGCAGCGGCGGCCGCGGCGTCAGCTTCGGCGGACTGAATTCGAAAACGTTTGAACATGAGATATCCGGTGGCGAGTAGGCCTACGAGTACGAGGCTAATGATGACGGGTACGACCCAACCGAGGTGTGATGGGTCTGGGTCGAGAGGGGCATCTTGGCTGCTTGTGAGATCGATAATTTGTTCCTTCGTCACGGCGTCGCAGTTTGAGAAAGTGAATACGGCGAGTGCCAGTTTGGTCGACGCGGCACACTCCTCAGGCGCAACGACGTAAATGCGTTCACTGAAGGCCGGTGCCGTCACGGTACAGTCCAACCCCTCCTCGGGTTTGGTCGCCCCTGTCCAGGCCAGGCTCAAGAATGTTGCCATCTGACCACAGGATGCTCCCTCCAGGTCGTAAGCGAATTTAGACCCGTCGTGCTCGACTAAAGCTACATTCAAATAAACACCTAACTTGAGCGCCAAGGTCCCTACCGGCAATACGGCCATGTGCACGTCTTTCTTGGTCGCCGTTCCGGCGTCGTCGCCACTGACATAGACCCAAAGCTTGGAGTCGGAGACGAAGTACTGAAACGCATGCTGATTAGAAGCGCCGAGACTGCCGCCAACAAGGATGCTAGTGCCGTTATAGAGACGCCCGATGGTGTCAGCACTCATAGAAGTGGTCGTCCACGCGTTAGTCGTAACCGAGCTGGAGTGTGCAGCAACAGGGAAACTTTCCTGGACTAGCGCGTAGTTGCCTTGAGCTAATGAGAGCAACGCCAGTGGATAACCGGGCACCGACTCCGTCTCCGCCACAGTCACCCATGAGGGGTTTCCACCGTGCAAAGTGAAAACCGGATTCGGCTTCGTCGCAGCACACTCCGTCGAGCTCCCTACTGCACCCACCCAAGAGGGAATGACAACCGAGGACCCCGACGTCTCCGTCAAATTAAACCCAGGACTCGACCCGCTGTATACTTGGTACAGCACCAACGGATCCCCCGTCAGCGTCTCCTTCGGCGTCGACGACGCGACTTTGATCACCGGCGCGCTCCCCACTGCCAATCCGGGAGCCTCCTGGTTTGCTGCTTGCCTGTCTACTTGACCCACTGACGTGTCTCCCAGTGACGTGTCTCCCACTGACGTGTCTCCCGCTGGCGTGTCTCCCGCTGGCGTGTCTCCGGCTGACGTGTCACTCAGTTGAACCACGGGGGTGTGCCCCCCGTTGCTTGTTGCCATCGTACCAATGGTGCGCACCTTACCGCCAGTTCCCGCCAGAGGCCCCTCCATAAAACGGCTTACCACAATCACCGTTTCTCCCAACTAGTCCCCCCCGATTCAACTCAGTCACCACCCAGTCCCAATGGCCATCGCTCATTTGCTGTGGCCCAATGGTTAAGTTAGTAGTTCTATTGGGGGGGCTCTGAAGCCCAACGGATATAGTCTAAGTATGTGGGGCAGTTCAACAACAGTCGGGCGGGTAAGGTCAACCACTTGTTGTCCAAGCATGTGGTGCCACTGCTCCATTGTCCAGGTTGCTGGATTGAGGGGGCCCATGAGGGGACTGTCGATGGCTAATGAGAACCATGTTCGGGATGCGTAAGGCTCTGGTATTTTGACGAAGCCGTTGAAGACGGGGCCGTTGAAGGTGCCGGTGTTGCTGAGCAGACCAGCCCCGTTGAAAATCGTCCTCGAGCCTCGGCCGAGGTCTACAGTCAGTCGAGGGGGCAGCGAAGAAGCCAGTCCCAGTTGCTCCAAGTTGCTGTTCAGCTGTCTGATAGGCCCGTTCATACCCAGCAGAAATTTTTCCGTCACGTCCTGGAGTGAGTCAAGTAATTCGTGCAGCCCTCTTTTTATAGAACGAATGTCCTTGAGGTTAATCTCCACTGTGGTCCAATCACCTAACAGCCCCGTGTCAACCCGCTGAGCGTCCCCACTCGGTTCCACGGCATTGGCCTCCTCCTCCAACGACAGGTCAGCCGTCGCGCTGGCGGACTCTTTAGAGGGAATCTTTTCAGAGTCACCGAGGTGCACCGCCTCGCGCCGGAATATAGGCCACTCTATGAAGTCCCTGTAGACGAATCGCTGGCCCCACGGATCGTCTGAAGGGACCTGGCCACGGACCTGGCCATCGACTTGGTCTCCAACCAGATCTCCGACAAGGTTTTTGGTGAGGTCTTCGGCCTGTTTTTCAGCTGAGAGGACCTGAATGGGCGTAGACTGACCACCCTGGAAAGAGGCAGACTGGTTATAGAGGTCCGCGCTCTGGCTGCAGGCCCACGGGAAGCTGCCCAGCAGAGCTGCCGGCAGACAGCGCATGCTTCGAGCTATCTACCTCCTCTCCGACCGGTAATACGCGATACTTCGGTGCAGCGGCAACGAAGCTCGTGCTTTCGTTCAAATTTCTTCGCGATGTTCCTCTGAACGAGCTCTATTGCTAGCGAACAGAGTGTGTCCGCGTTTGTATACCGCTCCGGACTGAAAACCGAGGTGCACCTGCTTGAAGAGCCTCAAGTACTTGTAGGCGTCCTCGGGACGCAGGGTCCAGGACGTCGAGCGACGCCGAGGTCGAGGCCAGGCGCGGCAAAAATCGTTCGCTAATTCCGGCCGCTTGAGTACTATCGATCCTTCTGACGGCAGTTTGTAGACTATCGTCTGGTGGAAAGGGTTCAGTACCTTGGAAAGGTCATTCCGTTGCCCTTGTATGTCCACAACCACCGTATCCTCCTGCGTCAGACCCGGTGCTGTCTGGTCAAGACCCGCTCGATGCAGGGCTTGGGCGACAGCAAAACCGTCGCACCGTTGAAGGGCATTCTGACGGTCATTCCCACCCAGGAAACTCTGCTCGAGGGAGGCTGTCGCGTCGGTAGCCAGGCAATCCCAGTACCGCTGCAGTGCCGCGTCAGCTTCTGACCAATCGACGAGCCGCGGCCGCTTTCGCAAATTAACGCTGCTTGGCCGCCACCGCTCGAGTGCGGACTGGATAGAATGCAGCAGCGAAGCAGGGCTCCTGTTAAACAGTGAAGCAGAACCCAGTAACGACGATACTCGCATACGATGATATAGCAACGGTTCTCGCCGAGCAAGCTAGCCGAGTTTAAGCAAATCTATCTGGTGCCTTAGTCCGTCTGGCGGCTTAGTCTTTCGAGTAGCTATTCTGAAACGGCTCGAGTGGTCTTAGTATCCAACAGCACACGCGTGTGCGAGGGCCCCAGAGCGGGGAAACAATTACCTGTGTTCATTGTCCACTTTTTGCTCGTCATTGGTGCCTGCGGATTGGCGGCCGAGGGTGCACTGGAAGTTGACTGCTACTCCCCAGTGGTCGCTGCAAAAGAGGCTCTTGCCACCGGGGAGTCCCATGTCCCCTATCCTTTGGGTCCCGACTAGCGCCATTTGGTTGGGATAGCAGGCAGCGTTTTTTCCGTTTTGTATGTAGACTCGGTCGAAGCGGAGCGCCGCTTTGTTACAGGGCCCAAGGTTGTCGTTTCGTCGCATGTCCCAGGTGTACCGGGTCTCGTTCTGCGACCCCAGCAGCTCCCAGACATCGCTGGGTCGCCGAGCGGCCTGGTCGCCTTGGCCGTAGTGCATTCGCTTCAGCTCCGAGTCACGGGCGTTGAAGTCCCCTCCAACAATTACGGAGTACGACCTCTCCACAATGGCGCTTGTCCCCACACTCCGGTCATAGGCATCAAGCTCATTGTTCATGAAATTGAACACTTGTTTATGTTGACTTATTCGCTCTTCCGCGGACGGCTTGAGGCTTTCAAGGTGTGTGCTACCGAAGGTATATAGGTCTTGGCCAGTCGTGAGCCCTTTAGCCCTCACCCTTTGGAACAGCAAGTGCCGTCCCATCTGTGTCTGGGGATAGAACAAAGCCACGGACTCGTCCACCAGATCCCAGTGATACTTGCTCAGCAAGATAACGTTGTAGTATCCATGTGCCTTTGGAGACTTTGTCGCTAACGGTGGCGCAGTCGGTGTTATCAAATGGTAGGGACCGGAGAGGTAACGCTTGATGATTTCATAACTCAGATCCACAACCTCCTGTAATAGGCACACGGCTGGCTTTCGGGAACGCACTTGGTCTATAAAATATAATGTTCGACCTGCCAACCCTTCCTCAGAAATACCATCCAGATTCCAACTAACCAATGTGAAGCTAAACTCATCTACTGTCCCAAATGTAGGCAGCTCCAACACCGACTCCGCACCACTCGCTTCCACTTCGACCGCGCCTCGAGGGTCCATCCCTCTCACGCTAACTCGTTTTTTAGGCGTCATTTTAACCCTCTGCCGCACCCCATCGCTCATGTACTCCGCCGTCTCTCCACTTCCTTCGTTCCCATGCAATCCTCCGCTCGCCCAGCCCTTTGCGTAGGAAGCTACTTGAAGTACTGTGCAGCAAATTATCAAGACTTCATTCAGCGTGAAGATGGCCAGGCCAATAACGACCGGTGACGAACCGCTATCCACTGATGTGCCAGTGGCTGAAGGGCCAGTGGCTGAAGGGCCTGTGGCTGCCGAAGGGCCTGTGGCTGAAGGGCCTGTGGCTGCCGAAGGGCCTGTGGCTGAAGGGCCTGTGGCTGCCGAAGGGCCTGTGGCTGCTGAAGGGCCCTCTCCTGACGCTGTCTTCGCTCGTTTGGCAAGACCGCCTGTGGCAGCTTCCCTGTCCGTTCCATGTGCTCGGGTCTGGTACAAGGCGTTAGGAACTGGTACAATGGACCGAGGTTGGAATCGGGGTTGGGACCGGGGTGGTTTGTGATAGAGGTGCTCGCTGGAGAGGTTTTCGTCGGAATGGTTTTCGCCGGGGTTGGTTCCCGGCCCTTCGTCCTGGGCCGGGTTGTGCCCTGTGGCGTTCGTTTCCTGGCTTGCTTCCCGGGCTTTCTGAGCAAGCCACGCCGCGTGCCGGCGCTTGGCGTGTTCCTCCATTTTTCGCGATGGATTTCTCCGCATTGCTGAGCCAGCTCGGCGGCTCCGGTGGCATGCCCGGAGGAGGACTCCTGCCCGGCGTGGGAGCCGCCGGCGGGCCCCCGAACC